ACGCCCCTTACTGGTACGTGAGAGGAAACTAGGTTGATAAAGTAAAGGAAGCGAGATGCGAGACGGGCGCCGAGTGGTTCGCGTTTTAGAAGATGCGCTCCTGGTGCTCCCGCTTCCGGTCATTAAAGACGTTACTTGAGACCCTCCTTCCCGCATTTTACCATATGCGCCCGGTCACGTGCGTCGTAGCATTAACCGTTACGTGCCGCGTGTGGATCGCTTCGTATAGAGCTGAAAATGCACTCTCTTAGTCGCCGTAATGCAAACGTTTCCGGATGTTGTTCTAGTGCCTGTGCTGCTTCCGGTGACCTCAGAATAACACGGGATAAGTCAGTGCCGCTCAACGTCTGGGAATTTGTTTCCGGTGCGTTAAGCACCTTTACCACTCGTCCGAAGAGATTTAGTCACGCAGAAACGTGAGCCGGAAAAAAATTGAGACTTATAACCCCTTCCGCATCGCGTCTATCGGAGTCGTTGTCCCTTATTATGCGATGAGCTTCATGGCATCCAAAGATATCCCTGGAAAACTTTGAAACAGTGTTCCGAGCGATGTCCGGTATCATCCAAGTTGGGAAAATTCCCTGTTCCAGAAATCCCCTGACTTCGACTGTCCTTTTGGCCCTGGCGACGAGTTCTCACTGGTATTCCAAGACTGACCTCAAAATTCAATGAAAACGAGCACTCTCCAACGAGCGTTCCCGGGATCATTGGGGCGAAATTGAGGTTGTGATAAAGCAGTTCGATTTTAGTTTGCACGATTCGTTCAAACATCGAAGCACTTGACTCTCGTATTATTTCGCTAATGCACTGCGTTCTTCTCTTGCGATATTTCGCAGCGCGATGATAGGTCTGATTTATTTTTTTTTCTTTTCGCGCAGATAGTTGTTAGATAATTGTTGCAGTTTTCTTCGTTGGCCGGTACATCAATACGTATCTAAGTGGTCATCAAGAATACGAAAAGGAAAATAATAATAATAATAATAAAGGTCCGATTTTATGGCTCGAGACAGTGTGCCGACAGAGTTCATTTTAACTGCGCCGTCATTTTTGTTACTCATTTGGCTGGGATATATTGTATAATATATGCGGGCCCGTAGCCAGGAATTTTTCCGAAAGGGTGGGGGGGACTCAGTTGGGTGACAGCCCTGACACCTATTTTCGTCATTTTCTCTTAATAAAACAAAAACACCCCTTCTATCCAAATACTGGGGGGGGGGGGAATGCTAGGCCACACAGCCCCCCCCCCCCTGGACACGGGTTGAGTATACGTCTCTGGATTGTCTCGCTTCAGAAGCTCTTCTTAAATTTTTGTTATATGCTCTAAACATTAAAGCAGGCTGTATCGCCCATCACGCTGTGGCATTGTCTCTATTCGGGGACTTCCGCATAGCTATAAGCAATATAGCATTATAATAAGCGCGAAAGAAAAAAAAACAGATATCGCCGAGACCTGGTCGACAATCCTTTCAGCTTCATGATTTCGCGATTGCAACTGTCCATACATGTACGCAGGCACTTTTTCTCCGAGGCTACCCCGGTCCATTCCAGTGTGCCCCCCCCCCCCCCCGCTTCTATTGCCTTATCTGTGAACACTCACTTTTTAGTGCTTTCCCCTCTGCATATTTCCCTACTTTTTTTTTCTCACGGCGCTTAGCTGCCAACAGCAAGTAGTGGGAAGGTGTATGTATATACATTTATACCACGATTCCGGATTGATTGTATCTCGAGAGAGAGAAAGAGCGAGGTGCATTCGATTCCCGGTCGCCCACCTCTTCTCGTCGATGTAACTGTTCGATACGGTCTACTTAGCACGTTTGTCCGGGTGTACACCCTGTCCACCGGCGACTGCCCCGCTTTTGTCGGTGAAAAAGAAAAGAGCCCGCGCCGAGTCTGAATATCTTTGCCCGGAAAGCCGATGCATCGAGCGCGCACACATTCTGAGCCTATGCCAAACGGAACTGCACGCTTGCGTAGACAGAGATAGAGGGAGGGAATTGCAGAGAGGCGACGCGTGGGGAATGTAAGAAAAGTCGATCAGAAGTGCACATCTGCTTGCCTACCCGAGCAGTGGTCGCGTATAGCGTCCGTCTTCTATGTGGGACGTACAGGGTTTGATTTCCAGTGCCTATACGGGTACCTGCCAGTTTTCTAATGAAGAGAGAGACACCTCAGCCTGGCGCACGGTGTTGTGGGTATTTGATGTCATCGATGTGGTCATGAGTGGTGCCAGGATTTCTTAGATTGTGGGGTTGGGGTGAAGGCATCTATGACAGGCGAGTTCCCAACTCAGTGCGTGTCTGTGTATGTGTTGTGTTACGTGCTATCTTTCCCTCTCTTTTAATCTCCCACATCCTCTTTCAACTTCTAGGGTAGTAAACCGGTTACACTCAACTGGTTAACCTGCCTGATTTTTTTTTCTCTACCAGGCGGTGAAGGAAGGAGCATATCGCCTAACTTGGGTCAGCAGCTCTGTTAGGAGGGCGGAAGGTGGAGGGGGAGGGTGCGGGAAAGAGTATATATTTGAACATCTTGAGAATGAAACCCTTGAAAAGTGAGAAAAAAAAAGAAAGTGCCCAAAGTTTTTTTTTTCCGAAGTGCACTTTCTACTTTCGCAGATCGTATATTTTAGACCTGAGACACAGTGCAAGAGGGAGCATTTTTGTATCTTATTTCGTCCTCGGAAATGCCGCTGGCGAGAATTGTCCCCGTCCGCCTCTGTACCCTTCGCTGCTGGGCTGCGCGTTTTACTTTCCGTTGTCAGCTTGACTAAATATCGTGTCGAATTTCATTGGGGCTAGCGTATTCACGCGAAGCTCCTCGCAGTAGCTTTCGCAATGAAAGGAAATGTCTTGTGCAATCCAAACTATGGAAATTATCTCGAATGACTAATTTCGTTTTGGTTATTGAAGAATTGACTGGTTGATTGGTTCACTAATTGATCAGCGCAGAATGATGCTTGTCATAGGAGCAGTCCGCGTCGACCAACAATGTGACAACTATCTGATTATCGGAAAAATAAAGAGGGAGAAAGAAAAATATAAACATGAGAAACATAAGCCGTTAAGGCATAGAATCGAGTAGAATGGTGAGCGGCCTGTATTCGGAAAGACTGTTACTCGGTGATCTTACTTAAGTCATTGAATTATTTCTGCCCACGAAATAAAAGGAGCTCTCGATCTAAGTTCGGCATCACATAAAATAAAGATGTTTACTTCAAAAAAAAAAAGTAGAAACAAGTCGGGCGGAAGTACTTAGTCAGGATTGCGCGTCGTCGTCTCTCGGCGGCAATCTGTGCAGCCTAGCTGTGTATTGCTATTTGGGGAAGGCCTATAGAGATGGCGTTTTATTTTTATTTCTCTCTCTCGCTTTTAAAACAAGGCTTCGCACATAGGTGGGCATGAGGAAATGAACACGATATAATAAAAACGTGACTGAGAGACAGAGATAGATAAAGAAAATTATCAGGTGCAGAAAAGTAGAGAGAATCACACTTTTTGCTGCTGCCCACTCAAAACTTGGTTCTCACTACTGGTACTGGAGAACCTCCGCAAAACCGACACTTCCGGGAAGACAAAAAAGACGGCAGCGGCAGGGACGGTCGCGAGATATTGCACGTCGACTGCGCTAGTTCTGCTCAACCTACAAAGGCCCCAATGCGTGCCGCATGCCGGCGCGCGCATTACTGTGCAAGGAGACGGATAAACGAGAAAGAAAATAAAAATAAAAAAGAAAGGAGAAGACCGGCAGAGTAGGTTCGGAAGAGGCAGATATGGCGTGCGCTTGTGCGGCGTGCTCTTTCACTGAAGCGAGTCGCTTTCGCTAGTCCATGCATGCGGAGCGTGAAGATTTCGAGTATATGAACAGGGGCGTACGGACGAGCCATGAAAGGGAAATCGTGTCGCCACTGGTTCAGTGCACGTGAGAGCGCTTTGGCGAGGTTGCAGCTGTGAGGATGGCCGCTTCCTTTCATCCGCCTTCCTTGTCGACAAAGGTGGCGCAAAACATTGAGTGTACTCCCACGTTTTTCAGTGTCATTTTCACCTCCCTCATTGCAGCGCAAGCAAACGGGCTCAGTATGACCGACAGCCTAGTCTAGTCTTTAGGTTTAGACTCTCTGAATACGAGACACACAGCCTGCAGCGTTTACAGCTGTTGCCTTGCTTCGCACCGCGTGACCAATGCAATTGATTCATACATGCGTTCAAGGAAGCGGAGAGTACGTACATACAATTGTTTTTTTTTGTGAAGTTCTCATCCAGTAAGCCTCACTGAAAGCTAATAATATATCGTGTTTTACGGCACAAACCGCGACATGACTACGAGGGACGCAGTACATTCTGTTGCTCCGAAAATTCTGACTACGCATTTGGTTTTCCCTGACGTGCGCTCACATTGCACAGTACACGCGGGCCTCCAACCATTCCGCGTCCATCGCTACAGCCGCGATCGAGTCTTCAACCTTCGGGTCTGCAGCTGAATATCGTAACACTAATTCGCCTAGGCGGACACATGCACACGACAACTAGGCGTCTTGAAACGTCATGGAACACCTGACCTCCGTCACGCAAAACGCACGCCGTCACCCAAGAAGATGTACTATATCAGCGTCAAATGAAATCCGAACAGTGGTAAGCCTTCGTGATGGTGTATAGTGTGTGCCATCCACTTATCACTGTGGGCAGGCATGCACGCGCAAAGCGGCCGAACAGAATGCGCGCAACTGTCAATTGTGATAACTGGACGGCGCGCACTGCATACCATCGTGAAGGCTTGCTGCTGTTTGAGTTTCATTTGACGCTGATATATAGTACCTGTGCGCTAGTAAAGGCGCGAACACATGCGCGAACATTGACCATCGTCACTACGCAATGTTTCATAAAGCGATGTCAGCCGCAGTCTTCATGCAGAGGGTGCTCGCGTGGTCTTTTTCGCGTGGTTGCCACGTTTAAAAGCAGGTGCGTTGCCCCCTGCAGCAGAACGCGGAACTGTTTTCGCGTTGATTTTCCGTCGGTGCGACACTCTCCGCAGCCCGTCGTGCTCACTCCTCGTTGTATGCAGCGTTTCCGCGTGCGTCAACGACTGCCTCGCGTGCATGTTTAAGGCAGCCTAGGTTTAACTGAGACGATTTCAACGTTCTCTTCTATAGTATGTGCCTGTTTCGTCGACACAAGGAACCCGGCCTAAAGGTGAATACATATCGTTTGTCATTATGTTGAAATTTTAAATCATGACTGCGTGGACACCTTCGAGGCTTGAAGTATTAGTATGGGGTGTTGCCATTTCCTGTTCAGCATAAAGCTGGTGTCTCAATGGGGCCGTAAGGCATGAAGAGGCATGCACCGCCTTGAAAAGAACTGCCTGTGAAGGTTCGACGTGAAAGAGGAGACAAGCAGACATGCCGTTCTTAATGTTAGCAACGCGAGCCCCAGCCTTGCACGTTTCACCATGCAAGCGGTGCTTCTTGCTACGCATACGCGGCACCTTGAATATATGCTATTGGCTAAATAGGCGGATGTATAAATGAAAGCAGTAGCAGAAAATAGACAAAACGTTGCACGGTACAGACTGTCACCTATCGTTTCACTGCCATTGCAGTGAATCAATAATAATACAAGTTGCCCACCCTTGTTTTCGAACTGCCGCCCAATGAGCCACCATAAAAATAGAGGCACAAGCTGTATAATCAACGAAGCGGCCACATTTCAGTTGTTTTGTCGTGAAAAGCACCGTTGTTATCTACCTGCACTCCATGGTGTGATAGCATGCTACACGTAGTATAAGTTGGTATGTATAAGTGTTGGTAGGATGTTTCAATGAACTTAATTAGCTATATCACTTCTGTTCGCATTTTTGTGTGTGTGCTACACTACGTCCTTCTCTTCACCAAACAAGTTCAAAAAGTATTGAAAATCTTTAGGCAATCGATATCGATCTAAAGCAAAAAGCGATATTCAGCTTGTTGGTAATTCATAATCAGGAAACAGAGCAGCAGCTGACAAGTGAAAGTATTAGGGACAATGGCACTTACACTTTATTGTTACTTTTTTCCTTCGTTGTCCACAGTGCCGCTGTTTCTTGCAAAAAAAAAAACTTAATCTGGAGCTCGGGCGTTCAATTACTCAGGCGGGCCCCAGGTAATTGAACATGCATTCTATTTAACTCATTTATGTCGCTCCATACACATAGTTGAAGCGATTATTCACTTTGCACTAACTATAAACCACGAATTCGATTAGCAGCGTGCAGTTGCTGCAGATGAACACGCGATTTCCCCGAACAGTACAAATAAATCGATCATTATAGTTAAAATGGTGGGTTTGCGATGCTGATCGGGAACGCCGATTCCGAGAACGCACCGTCAGGCATGCTCTTCGATTGCTTTCGACCGCTTGCTTTCGACATGCTCTTCAACGGCTTTCGCACTATCGATGGTTGTCTCGTAAAGCCAAAGCCCAATCTCGAAATGCACAGCGGTTTTCTATTTGCTGTAGTGTCAGTTTACAAACACGCTTTCTTTAATATGAGTCCGGTTATTGCATTTCTTTCTGTGAATCAATAGCTTTTAGTACTGTGAACGAAAAAAATTTCCAAAGTAACGAGACCGTGGGGTATTGGCTAACTGCCATAATTCACTCTTGACACCTTTGCTTCTCGCACTGCTTGCATGGGAAACGGTAGAACTTGACGGGCAGTATTCAGGTCTTTGTAATGTTTAAACTTTTGTAGCAGCTCCCAATGCAGCAGTAGTGCGCGCTTGATTTCCAGAATGACGAAGAGAGCGCTGCCCATAGCGTGCGAAATGCGAGATAAGCGCTCCAAGCAACACGTTTTCCGTGCGCGCAATGGGCAAACCCAGCAAGCGCGGCCCGTCCAAGCAACCGGAGCTTTGCCCTCTTTCCGCTAGGGCAGTGTACGGTGCTGCGCAAACTTGAGCCGCGCGCGTGTGTTCATTCCCGCGCGCGCGCACACACACAGACATGGGCGCGCAAAATCGCATGCAAACACAGGAACGCGCACAGACGTACTGTACGCATGCCGTGCAAGCAGCGCACAAACGCAAGCATTTTCTTGTTTCTTTAATCTGCTGCAGATCTCCCGCTTCCGCGAGCTTACAGTAGAAGGCAGGTCTTGAAAGAGATTTTACCTTTCCTGTCTGAGTGGCCCTGCTTCGCACTCTCGGCAATCGAGCCCTCGGCGACACGCCTGTGGCCTTCTCGGGTTGCACGCTGCCTTTACAAGACTGTGTGTATGGTTCGGTAGCGTATCAGATCGCTATCTGCCGAGCACTGTAATCGATACCCTAAAGGCATTGCGGGAGAGATAACGCGCGAGTGCACAGCAGTGCATTCCACCTTCTCTTTCTGCTCATTTGCGAATCGCGTTTTTTTTTTCCCCTTTCACAAGCATCGCCCGAGGACACGACGGTGCTGCTGTCTATTCGTGGAGCACCTAGGAAGGCATGATATACTGCTGCCCCGCGGAAACATTCGTGTCCACTCGTTTTGCATTGTTCCACCCATTTATCGATGTCCCGTGAGACCGAATTTTAGTTGCAAAAGGAAACGATCGCTAGTTCTTCGATATAGTGCTTTTTCGCGAGCCCGCTCACCAGCCCCACCTTTTTCTTTATTTCCATTATTCTCTGCGTACGGTTTTGGGATACGCGTTAGTAGGCAGCAGATTTAAACAAGCCTTTTGTTGAAGCATGCATATGTATATGAAGGTAAAGAGGAAGGGTGGGGGATTCGCACGTCCATTTGGAGGACGACAACACGGGTATAATTCCGACGGCAATTTCTTTCTTTCGTCATTACTCTCTGTCTTTCTTTCTTCTTTTTTCCGGCGACAAACGCCAATATTGGCTCAGTTAATGAAACGACACAGAGAGAGCGTACAGCGTGCCCTCGTGGACAGGGAGGAAAGTGGGTGGTGGAAACCATCGAGTTTCCTAAAATTAACTAGAGGGCACTCTGGCGCTGCGATCGCTCAGCGACCATGGGAATGATGGGTAGTACACCGATTTGCCTAGTCTTCGTACTTGTGGGCGGCGAATCGTACTTGCGCTTTTGTTTATTACTGTTTACGGTTTTGTTTTGAAAGAGCGAACCCTTTTAAACTTAGGGACTTGATTCGAAATAGCAAGCTTAAAAGAATAAGGTTGTGAAGCGCAAACTGTGAACATTTGCTAATTTATGTTTTCGTGAAAAAACAGCTCCAAGCCACACGAACACACACGGAGCGAGAAGCAGGCCAGAAGTACGAAAATTAGACAAATGTGTCTACTACCTATCATTCCCATGCTCGCTGAAACGCCGTGTGTTGCAACTCCCATAGACACTAGCGCCAGAGTTCCCTCTAGTAAGTATTGTGGGAAACTCTATGGTGGAAACAACAACGAGACCCAATCGATTGTGCTGCTTTGTGGGGCGGAGCGCGCTGCCAGCATTCGGAATGCTGGAGGCAAATGGGACAAGAACGCCAATTCGATTACGATCTGCGTGGTCGACACGCGCTCATGCTGCCCTCGTTATGGAGACGCGCGCGCGTCGGACACCGAATGCCGCGGCGACCCCCTAATGGGCGCCGGCGTGTTGAGCGAAATTAGCGCGTTGTCGCGCGACAATCAATCCACCGAGGCTGAGTCCTGGCGGCCGTAGGGGTTGACGGGCTGCGAGCCATCATGTGTACCTGAGCTCGAACAGCAGCACGAGGTCGCGCCGAAGGCGGGCCGAAACGTTCCGTCTGGGGGAAACGAGTTCAGGCATTTATCACTTCGCGTTGCCGCCTATCTTATTACGAAATGAATTACATAACTAGTTGGAATGGCAAAACCCCGGGAGAAAGAAAAAGAGAGCAAGCATCCCGCTTGCTATCTTACACTAGGATTAAGAGAAAGCAGGGTGTAAATGGGAAAGACAGTGTAAAGAAAAGGAGTGGGCATTACAAAGCAGGTGTAGAAATCACTCTCCTTCATTCTACTGGGGCTGGTGCAATTTAAGAAGTACAACGAACGGCTTTGTGCCCCAGAGATATCAGTGACAAATCAGCTACTGGAAGAACGCAACCTCGTATGACCTGCATGGCTGCAAGTTATTCAACGGAGAGCTACATCGAACACCGTCGATGTTTAAAAAACGCAGTAGCGTAACTTTTCGAATTCTACCCTGTTGGCAGCGAAGAATTGCTGGCGTTGTGACATAAGAAATGACACCTTTTTGTTTTGTTTTTTTCGGCAGCGTACCCTGATATTCATCGGGTTCGCTGCCAATGTCAGAATTTTTTGACGCTCTCGCATTTATTTTACCAATCTCTGTTGTCACCATTCCTGGGTACATATAAACTGTCAATCACGTATTGCGTGTACCCGCCCGCAGTTATGAGCCCCTGTTTGGCGGAAAGTGTTTGACGATATATGCGACGGGATTGGGGCATTGTTCCTGTCACGACCAGGGCGTCATATTCGTCAAACCGTCTTAATCTTTCATACCAATTTCGGTTCACCCCAAGTTAAGGATGTGATCACAACAGCACACAGACGTAACCGCCTAGTTAGTTAAATAGATAGATAGATAGATAGATAGATAGATAGATAGATAGATAGATAGATACACCGATAGACGCTAAAAGTGCCTGTAGTATGCAAAAAAGTGCTCCTCACTTAATATGTCTAGGACCCGGACTCACCGAAGTAATCTCGTACGCTTTTAGCGTAAGAAGATTTTCTGAACACGCACTCTGAGAGGCATAGGCAGAATCCGACATATTTACAGCACTACGTATCATACATCCTTTGAGGCACTAAGCCTGTGAGGCACGTGCTCATAAGCTACACAGGCCAGTAAAGTGTATTATGCGTATTAGCTAAAATGATGTGAAATGATTTTGCCCCCTGAAAGTAGTAAACAACAGGTCAGTCTCCAGAACTCAAAAATGTAGTTCCAACACGTGTTCGTGCTGCTCTTCTTAGCACCTCAAACACGGAGCTACTTTTTTTTTTTCATTTTTGTCCATGTTATAATTTTCTTTTTTGTTCTCTTCAATCTCTCTCTTCTCTTTTTTTTTTTTTGAACGAGATGCTATGGTGAGGCGCTCACAAAACACCTGGAAGGATTTTCTTCCGAGCGGCCGTGCTGGGGATACACGCGACCTATTGTCCCGAAACTGACCTGACAGTATGTTCTCAGCCCTCTCTCCACCGGCAAGAATGCCGAGTCCAACAACCTCGTCTGACCTGTCCGTCTTCTGAAGGAGCTGCGCCATGTCGGTGGTGTCGCCCAAGAAGCAGAAATTTTCCTTCCTTCAAGAATCACTCACTCATTTTTCCCATTTCGCCAAGTCGTCGGGCAGGTGTCGAAGTTGCCCATTTTTTTATTTCTCGAGTAATTTTTCAAAACATTCATTTACGTTTGTCGACTTAATAATTTGAACGTGATATTATGTAATCGTATGCTTGTGATACCGATTTCATCTAGTGTGGTGAAGTGGAGCGCTACGGAAGTTTCCTCGTGTGAGCTCCACAAGGTTGTGCCCTCCCTGCGACCTGGGCCGCTGTTGCGGCGAGTGCCAGTCTGACCATTTCGCTTGCGGACATGAGTAGCCGCAAGGTGAATCACAAATACCAAAGAAATGCTCCCGACAAGAACACCGGCATGTGACGAGAGTCGTGCTTCGAAGTAGACACGCCAGTCGCACGCTACAGGTAACACGTGTTGACTGCTCATACGTCTCACACAAATTTTGTTACCTCATCCAATCTTTTACGAACATGAATTATTGATCGCCCTTTCTTGTTTATTCTGCTGTTATGGTGTGCATACACTTTCATTCGCACTCATATTTTCATTTCATGTTCATTTGCATGTTCAGCAGGTATATTGTGTGACTATTAATGGGCGTGAATATTTTTAGGCAACTAGTGTCAAGTATTTTGAATAAAGAAAGATCTTTAGCGCAACCTTCCGTTCATGTTTTCTCGGCTAACGCATTTTCCAAATTGCACTGGATTCTGCTAGAAAGTCGTTCGCACATATACACATACGCATGTTGTCGAAATGCATGGGTTGGTAGACAGTGTTCTTAACCATCGTAAGGATTTCGTGTTTACGATGCTTGACTGTCAATCGAAAACACGGCGGTTCGACTTTGGACGTGGTGGTCGCATTTCAGTGGAGAATAAATGCTAGAGCCTCGCCAATCGGGCGGCGTTATACAAAGCCCACCATACGGCGTCCTGAATTGTTGTGGGACGCTAAACCACATGGATGTACCAACAAACCGTTTACAGAGCGTGGACAAGCATGCTTAAATATAACGGTTGTAACCAACTGCTAACAGACTGTACTAAAATACAGTTTACTAGACAGTCTTTTTATTGCGAGAATGTTACTACGACGTCTATTGAACATTGTTGATAGGACGTTACTACGTGGTCATAGCCAGTCAGATGACTACGTGGTCATCAGTCTGGCTATGACCGTCTTTCTTTTGAGAGATTGTTACTAGGGCGTCTACTGAACATTGCTGATAGGGCGTTACTACGTGGTCACCAGACATGCTATCAACAAGAGTCTGTTCAAGGTTGGTGTCCAATTGCAGCCAGAGCGTTGATAAATAGTTGCTAAAGGAGCGTAAAGACCGTTGGTAGACACTTTTTTTGATAGTTGGTAGGTTCTAGTGACAATCACCTTTAGACAGTCAACTTATCGTTATTGACCATTTTTGCAAGGGAGGACCACTCGGAAAAGAGAATACAAGAAGGGCGTTTATTTACAGCGCCACATCTGGGTTGCTCGTCATGTCAGCTACAGGCATGAAGCCTGTGGTACAGAATACGTTTTTATTTAGTTCGCGAACTAACGGGGAAGCCCACTGCTCAACGCCGAGCACTGTACTTTACACAACGACCTATTGTGCTAACAGCCTGCTCATCGCACTGTATGCAGAAGACCCAGTGCTGTCTAAATGAACGCCTCGGGTCTTGTATCCAAATAGGCCTAAGACAGACTTTCAGGGAAAATAGAAAAGCTTGGGGAATTGAAAAATTCTTGAACGTAGGGTGTCTCAGGAGCCGACGTTTCGACAAGCGGTCTTGTATTTTTCATGGCATCAAATGAAAGCAATTGCTCTTTTGATGAAGACTATAGTATGTTCTGTCGAAACATCGAATCCGACGACACTTTGTTCAAGAATTTTTCACCTCTTCGAGTTAAAAGTTCCTGCTTCGAGTCTGGCACATATGTTAGATTCCTCGTTTTAGTTATCACATTAGTAGCCCCGTACTCGGCCACATAATCGTATTCGGAAATATTATTGCAACATTACTGTACAAAGCACATAGTCCACTACACGATCGGCTGCACAGTCCAACGCACTGTCAAAATTATCATTTCGCTATGCTTTAGTGTTCGCCGTCGCTGGCAGAGCTGAGCTGGCTACAGAGCATAGCTTTCCGTTTCTCATCGAGCCTTCCTCCTTGTTTCTCGCGGATCCATCTTCCTTCCAGTCGAGACGACGGCGAAATGCGTTTTCCATGCGGCACACTTTTTTTTCCGCGCCGACGACGCTACGAGGCGTCCCATCTCGCGCGTCGAGCGAAACTGAGGCGCACGCAAATGAGCCGCGTCCATATGTGCCCGCGGCCTCACTCACGACTTTCCGTCACGGCCAGAGACAAGACAACCGCACGCGTCGAGGCGCGGGGCACACGATGAGCGTTGTTGCACGGAATGGGAGCAGTGCGAGGCCGAGAGGCTCGCCGCAAGTCGCCTGGTTCCAGACGCATGCGCAGGGATCGCTTCGTTCCAGACGCATAGAGCACGCACGGCCACCGTAGAGCACGTACCACACATACAAAACGCGACGGACAGAGGCGCTTACACGAGGAACACCACGACGTCATGCGCGGCAGGTGCAGTGCACGGCAGCGACGACTGCTATGACGAGGAGAAGGGCGTCGAAACGGAACAGCGTCGCGACGAGGCAGCGACAAACGCATGCAAATCGAGAGACCGACGTTTCCACCTTTATATATATATTTACGCCGTCGTCGCGGCCTTTGCATGCTGCGTGCTCGAATGGGCTCGTGTGCGTTTTAAAGACTGATATACTTGTTTGTCCGCTTCGACTTGTTTGTTTTCCCGCCCAAGCACCTGTTTGGGAAGGCATTGCGTGCTCGCTGCGACCGAGCACTTCTTCCCCATACGTGCTCCGGCGGCCGCACCACGTCGTGAACGCACTTTGCGCACCCGAAAAGGTACGTCTAAACAGATCTCTTACAAGGGCGTACCATCCTCGTGTTTCTATGCGGAAAAAACAAACAAACATTGTAGTACAAGCAAGCGAGGAAGACAAGCGAGCGTGCGAAGGAACGAAAAAATTGGCACATCTCACGCACCCGTCGAATCGAGGATATGCGAAGCACGAATGAGCAAGGTTGATATGTCGGTTTAAAATAAGCACAACGTAACGAGGCGGTCGTAAATTTTGCCGTACATGACTTCCATGTCATGATTATCATATTTTACCGGGAATTTGTGTTCGTCATTGATTCGCGTCACGTAATACCAAATTTGGCATATGTGAAACTAGCGAAACGGCCGTGAGCACGTATGAGCGTAGCATGTAGTCATGTTTTACATAGCACGCATGTCATGATTATCATGTTTGCACGTGTCACTTACTTTCGTCATCAATTCACGTCTCGTATACCAAATTTGTTATATTTGAAGCTATAGCGAAACGACCGCGAACGCACCATGAGCGTGGCGTGCAGTCAGGACTTACATGACATGAATGCCATGATTTCCACGTTAGGGTCTGTCACTTATGTTCACCATGCAGTCATGTCATACCATACCAGTTTCGAAATATGTTATGTGAACGAAACCACCACAAGAGTGCACCTCCTGCATGCGTGAGCCCGCCGGTCTGCGCCGAACCAGCGTGTGTCGTATAAAAGCTACCGAGCGCCACACTCTGAAGTCTCGGCAAGTTTCGCTGCTCGCGTGGTGTTGATGCAAATGGTCATGTGTTGGGCCGACTTGCTGGATTCGAAACGGGTCGGCTTGGCAAAGCTGGCGGCGTGAAGTTATGCTCTCTCCTTTCTTTGTCTTCTTCGGTGGATAGAGGCTCCGAACTGACGAGTTTTCGTCGATCACCCCTGCCGATGCGTGCGTAGATCATTGCAACGCGACCGTGCTTGCGTGTGTTCCAACTTACACTTCGAGAAGCGGTTTATTGAAATGCGCAATCCGTCGCTACTTGTGGCAAAGTGCATACAGGGGCCATCTGGGTTATCGGTCGCCTCGAGCAAGTTAGCTGCTATTCGTGCACGAATCGAAATATCCAGTATCGCCTTAGCGGCATCCGTTGACGCAAGTCATCGGCATGTACGGGTGACATAATTCACGTGATAACGCGAATTCGAACTTCAGCGCATATACGAGGAAACTTAAAAAAAATTGAAAGCTTGACAACGTTAGGTATTTTGTTTCATCCGACATCGCTGTTCAGTCGTGCGACATGTTGTGGAAGCGACTCGTCATGCAAGGGATTGGAAATTGCGACCGCTCAGCCCATTTGTGGAACAATGCGGGGTAAATTATTCCAGTTCCACATGAAAGAAACTCAGCACTCCTAGAGTACGGTAAATGCCTCAAGGAATGTTGCATACTTACAACTGGTTGTTAAGAATAATAATAATAGTGTCTGGACTTTTCCGAGCGGAAATAATGGTAAGATTGTGCGACATGCCGCGATGGGTTACGATGGATTAATTTTGAGCTCTTGAAGCTCCATAATATGCACCAAATTATATATACGTTACTGTTCTCACAATTTACTTTCGTAGGAACGCGGTTGCCCTGAGTGGGAAGCGAGTGTGCGTCTGATGAAAAAAATGGCTGCCTATATATGTGCATAACGTTCCCGCCGTTCATGCAAGCTCCGTATACTAAATATTCACTGTAAAAAAGCGGGCTACATAACTGTTTCGGCAAGCAATACTTATTGCCAGAATAAATTGGCATTACATATTTTTCAGAGGAGAGCGCCTTGCCCCCGCTGATTGTAGTAAGAAATATGTTCGTTCATGCGATACTTTTCCCGCTACTTTAGCCACATCCAGTGACGTTTTCGCATGGTCATTTATATGCTGGGTTAGACGTATATATATTTCATTCGACGGACCTTTCATACATGGTAGGAGAGAAAGGTCATTACGCATAAGCGACAGCAGATAATCTTCTCACGACTTGCTCTATTTCGCCCACGCACGGAAAGCAATAAAATACTTAATGAATGCGTAACCTCTTACGCACTAACCACCAGGCTCACAAAGATAAAAAAATGTTTCCGGGTTACACGTAACACAAGGGAGAAGAAAAAAAAAACGCGTTATTATGTTTTGAACGCCATTCGTCAGCGGAAAACTTCCGGAGACACGCTCACCCCATTGTTCACAGCGAAACGGTGCCTGCAGTCGCAACCTTGTTTTAGAGCATTACAAAAGCCCTATGGGCACGCGTGCGTTGCTATCATTGGTCATGGGAGAAATTATTCAGAATGGTAGCTTTCTGCACTTTTTTCTTTCTTTTCATAGGCAGTCGTCATCACTTGCACTTTAAGGGCTCAATAGAAGGAACTGTAATCACAGCACGTTCAAAATAGTATCGCGACAAAACCTGTTCACATGGGCCAATAATGGCAAGGCATACCTTGAAAACACATTTTCGTCGCCGTACAAGGCTATCTTTTGCAATGTATAATTACCACTTTACATAAAACTTTTTTTCAAATGTATAATAATTTACTGTGATGCTAGTACCTTATAGAGAGCTGCTTTCCCGAATGAAGCGACAGCGGAATAATAAATCAGGGACGGCAAAATTATTTACCAGGAATTTTTTTCGTTCCGGCTTTGAAAGACTCTGCGACTATGCGAAATTGCTGTGCTGTTTTTAAAGGCTTCTCATAGTACGGGCGTCACGGCTCCCGACAATTACACACGACGCCACGCCTGACCATCTTGCTGTGCTTGCAAGACTTAATGAGTAGGTTTTAAAATTTATAAATGTAAAACGTATTAGAATACGTCAGATGAACGTTTGAAGTCTCAAGCAGGAAGGCCATGTAAATGATGATTTATATGTGGGGTTTACCGTCCCAAAACCACCATATAATTATGAGAGACGCCGTAGTGGAGGGCTCCGGATATTTCGACCACGTGGGTTTCTTTAACGTGCCCCCACATCTGAGAACACGAGCCTACAGCATTTTCATCGCGGGATCGAATTCCGGCTGGGGCCGCTCCATTTTTGATGGAAGCGAAAACACTGTAGGCCGTGCGCTTAGATTTGGGTGCACGTTAAAGAATCTCTGGTGGTTAAAATTTCCGGGACTCATAGTTGCATATAAATGATAGGTATTCAGGCCGAATAAGCGCGGACCTGCTAACACGGACACACAAAAGGAAAATGAGACGGACTTTGTGGTGGCCCGTTCTTTTCTTCTGTGTCCGTGTTTGCAGGAAGTCACCTTTCAGGATGGTCCCTGTAGGCGTGATAAAGCCTTTTATGCAGAGCAAAACAACTTCGGCAACACTCTAACTGGAAGAAGAGTTGTGTGTCTCACAAAAATAAAGTGCCAAGTGGCACATGATATGCACGAAAATATCCCGTAGTATCGTGACTTGACAAAAAAAATTCAATATTCTCCACAGTTAAAGAAAATGCTCTAGAGTTGGCAATCGCTTTCGAGACGTATTGACATAAAGCTAAGAGCGGTGGCGTTGATGAAGTGAGGAGAGAAACACGACGGGACAGGGCCATTGAGAGTACATTGTTCCGGTTGTGTAATTTTTTTTTTTGCGCCACATCTAGTAAATGGAGAACGATGAACATGACGAGGAAGGCTGAGCTGGTCTCTTAGCGTCTACGTTTTTATCTAGCATTTGATGAAGGTGCACAGAAAGGAAGAACAAAACAAGTGCATTTGAATGAAACGAGAGCACAGGAAACATCATTCCGAAGACATCAGTACTAAACCCAGCGTTGGTGACAAGTAATATAAAAATATGAATACAGCTCCTGCGAGCCTTCAGGGTGGTATTGGTCCAATATTGGCCAATTGTTTGGCCAGTATTGGTCCAATGGTGGTTCTACGCAAAGCGGAGACAAAGGCAACCTTCGTGGTCAGACTCCCAGTAAGCGTTGCCCAATTTTCACGGGTCACGTTTGTCACTTTCCAAAACGCAAATACATTTAGTCCTGCACTCACGACATTCCATATGTGAATATTTATCTGATAACAAAGCGGCTCCTATGTTGTGGTTCTATTGAGTTCACTTCACTATAAAACCTAATTAAAAAACAGAATGCGTCCTAAAACAAAGAAATTATTCGGACAACTACCGTGGTCTGTAGAGCACTGCTACGCTGCACCCCACATAAGGAACGTGCGGTCCGCTCAACGAGAAAATTGCAAGGTGATAAAATCAACGAGCCTTTCAGGGCGTCGCGCGTGGCCAGTAATCATCGACACGACGGCTCTCACCTTGGATGCCGTCGACGTTCTGGTAGGAAAAGCGGTTGGATGACGCCACGAACGTATAGGGAGATTCGTGCGCTGGCTTGGGCGCCGTGTAGACGTGCCGGGGCAGCATCGAATCGCAAGACTCGGCCGGTCCACCCTGTGGGAACGCCTGGGTTATCACCGTCGCCAGGAGTAGAGCCAGAGGCGCGCAGGCCAGCGCCGAGCAGACACCGTGGTTCTTCATCGTTGTATGTATGGTATAACAACCGCGTAAAACGATTGCCGGCGGCAATGACGGTCGATGCTGGAAAATCCGGGCGCGGTAGTCAGTCGGTCTTCCGCGGCTTTTGGCGGTCGTGGCCCTTGCTCACAGACCCTTCAGGAGAAAGCGCCTAATCCTGCTTCTGCTCGCGACGATGGTTCGTTCCTGGACTGCGCGGGCTGCTGGCTGTACCGCGCCGCTGGCCGCGCTGACGGAAGAAAGGGCAAGGAGAATCCACACACACGCACAGGCGTCCCTTTCGGTTACACTCTCGGTTTTTTTTTCCATTCCTCTCCGAAAGTGAGCCTGCCCGTTGGGTGTCCGGTCCTCTCCCGCTCCGCCTTCTTCCGTCACTTCTGGAGCAACGCGGGTTTCCCTTTTCAAACGCGGCCGCGAAACCGCCTAAGCAGTACCTGGGCCCTCGCATTCTCTCTCCCTGCACGCACGAACACACACCCTCCTTGCGCCGCTAGGCCCGCTTTCCCAGCCGCAGTTAAAGGCTCGCTACGTCGCCGCTAGCGGTAGTAGTCGCACGCTGGTAATCTCTCGTCGCTGGCAGTGGCACACGCCCTTGTCGAGAAAGTCCCGTCACCCGGCCGGCCGTCGGCGATTGCCCTGAGGCTGGCCTCCACGAGACTTTCTAGAAACTAGTTTCTGCTTCGCTTATTCCTTCCTGTTCCCACCGGCAATCGTACTCAACTACATCTGCCGCTTCTAAAGACGCTATGCTCAAACCAGTATCAAATGTCCCGGCCAAGGTCATAGCAGGGCCTTGCGAATCACGGCAGAGGACATTAAAGTAAAAAAAAATGAAGCGAAGAGACAAAATAATAATCAAAAGATTGGCTTGGGTGGCAAGGACAGGGGTGCCACCGGATGATCGAGTGCGGGAGTGGCTTCGTGTTAGCGCTCCCAGTCGAAAAATCTACCAGGCCGTGTCTGGTTCTTTTTTTCGCCCACACCGAGCGGGAATTCAGACACGGTTTCTGGTGCATGCGGCCGTTCTCTGGTGTATACGGCCGTTTTCTGGTGTGACACGGAATAGTGTGTTTTGGCAAGACCCTGACTGGTGTGTTTTGAGAAAACCCGGACTCGTGTGGTTTGATAAGAAGCGGGCTGGTGTGTTTTTGCATGATGGGCCCTCGTGCATTCGTTCTCTTCACGTAATTAAACGCATTGCGGATGAAAACATGCACTTTTACGTGCGCATGGGCAAAAATAGCAGGCTTGCATAGTAGATTAGGACTGAAAATGACTTCTCTGTTTATTTTGCTTTCTATTCCCGTCTCAGCTTGATCTTTGAGTTGGCGTGAGTTGCTTCCTTTTCCACAAGGATTCAGGCAGCACTGCAGGGCATGGAAAAGACGAAAAATTTATCACAACATTGCCCAATTTGATAAATGAAGGTAAATATGTTTGTTGCAGACTTGTGCTCTTACTTTGAGAAAAAAAATTAACTGTGTGCAAATATTTGAACTTTCAAATATTTTACGAATAGCACTTGCCTGTCGAATAATTTTCACTGAAAGTTTTACCATTAGAACTTCCCGATGACAACAGTCAATGCCGAATTGATTGCGGCCCCTTCAGACTTTCTTTTCATTTGCTTGATCTCAATACACTCGCACTTTGCGGTAAAGCTGCCTTTCAGGCTATATTAGCTATTGCAGTGATTCGAGAAAATGCTGGTTCACACCTGGAGATGCACTGTGCCGTTACAGTCACTCCTTGATTTTTTAATATGCTTCACCGCTTCGTGGGCAACGCTACGAGGCCAATCAGATTGAATCACGAAAGCACTGGTTCAAACCTGCGTGGCAGGGGTGGAAGCTTTATTTATTGTGTCAGACCAAATGGTAAAAAAAAAAAAATTGTACGAACCTTCTCACTATCATAAAATTAAGGTGTTTTCATAGACAGACATCTGCCGGGCAGATCAGCAACTCCAAATTCGAAAGGAGCACGCCCTTGCCCACCAAACCAGAAGGACCTCCACAGAAGTTTATGTGGAGGGGGGGGGGGGGGAGGAACCTTTTACGGGTAAACCGCTGTCGACACCACATTGGTTGCACCAAGTATGATAAATAAATACAATGCGGTCTGCAAAGCCTCATTTTTTATAAAACAAGGGAGCACCTTCCTTCCAGATCTTCACCAACCCAGCCAAAAAAAAAAAACAATGCCACATTCCTATTTCAAAATAATGTGCTTAGGAATCTTTTGCAACTTTTCCTCTGTAACTTCACTTTGAAGTATTAAATATATTCAAGAAATGTTAAAAAATATTTGATTAGCACTCACTTTTCAATGTTAGAATTCGTTTTGCACACAAAATTTTCCCATTCGCACAGCTCTTAAAAAATAAAGAAGACAAATTCCTTCCTGTTCGTTAAGAAAAGCCTATCGCTGAACTACGGCAGTTGATTATAAGCACACTAATTAAGCATCAGCAGTAAATATACATTTGCATAGAATCTTATGTGCTTCTCATACAGCCTAACCAACTGAGAAACTCATTTTTAAAAATAGGACTATCTTTCGAACAAACCGTGTCTAAGGGAAGGCTCACACATTACGAAACAGCAACGGCTGGAATGTCTGTACAATCTTGGATCACAACTGAGGTTTCCCTTTCGCAGACCATTGCAGACAATGAAGAACATGCAGCAGGTAAATGCCACCTAAGCTTACAATACCAAATTATTTCTGTGTGCAATAATGACAAAAGCAAAGTAGCAATGCCTTTCAGCATTTCCTTCATCAGGCATGTACAGCTGTCAGCAACTTTAACTCGAACGCTCCGATGCGTGGCCTCGGTTCACTTGAACTGAGAGCAGCGACACCAAGCGTTCAACATTATATGATTGCTGATGATGTAGCGCACGTCAGTTTCCCTAGTAAATTTCTGTTTCCAGTCTGCCCGACCAGTGGGTAGGCTGCAATGCACTCACTTCACACTCACTTCGCATCCCGGTTTAGCCAAGTTTTGCTCGTGGCTACGTTATCGCGCGCGTCCATGGCGTTCCTTGTTCCATGCCTATTTCGACAATGAACCATTGCGTGCGGCAGCTTACCCACCTTATGAGTTCGCATCCACAGCAAGGAATCACATGTATAAATAACCGAGCAAACCCATGTTCATGGCGTTTGTAAAAGGTGCACAATAAATAAATCTCAAATGTGGTGGCGTTGTTCATGTTTTGATTAAATAACTTTTAGACAGCGTCGATTGAACTGTTCTCGCAATTTAGAGTGTGCCTTTCGGTTTGGTTCATGCTGCATGGAAGATGTCGGAGCGCAATGTTTCTGCGCGTTTTCAGCAACAAAGGCGCATGAATACAACGGAAGCAAGTAATTTTATGTGCGTACTTATAGCATAAATGCTTAAACTGCCATCATATCTTGAATTCAAATCGTAGTAGGCACGCTAAAGCCCAGGTATTGTTGCCCACTCAGATGTTGTGCCCCAAGAACACATCTTCCGTGCAGCGCAAACTGAGCAAAAAGGAACACTCTAAATTGGGAGAGCAGTTCGATTCACGCTATCTGAAAATTACTAAATCAGAACATAAACAACGCTACTGCATGGCAGATTTATTGTGAAACTTTACAAACGCATTGAGCGCGCGTTTGCTCTGCTTTTTATACGTGTGATTCCTTTTGAGCAGCAGCTGCCACTTCAAACACGAAAGGTGTGTAAGCTGTCGCACGCAATTGTTCTTTATCAAGCAAAGAATAAGAAAACAAATGTCATGGGTGCACGCGAAAACGTAGCCACGAGCAAAACGTGGCGAAGATGGGATGCGAGGTGAATGCATTCGGCTCGCCGGTCAGGCAGTCTGGAAACAGAAATTTACTAGTGAAACCGACGCGCACTGCATTTATCCCTAACTGCAGCAAGCATATCATTTTCAACGCTTGGTGGCGCTGACCTCATTACAAATCCTCAACCTCACTATTTAAGGGAAAAAAAATCTAGTTTTTGGTTCATTAAGTATTACGGCTTGGTGGCGCTAGCCACCACCCGATCTAAAGGGTACAGCCATATCCATTCATCCATCCACAAGCCGAGGCCACCCGTAAGAGCGTTCCAGTTAAAGGTGCTGATTGCTGTGCAGCATCAGTTTTGCTACAACACATGGGACCTCCTTCGACTGTTGCTAACGCTACCAATTCTTGAACTCAGTTAATTTACTGGAACAAATATTAAATGAAGGGTGGGTAAATTTCTCCAGTAAATTTCCAGTTCAATTCTGCCTAACTGGCGGGTCTAAAACACTCTTGACAGGTACTTTTTCTCCATATTTTGCTCGTGGATAATTTTACGCCAGCCTATGAAATTTGTTGCCAACGCTTATCTCAGCAATGAACCATTGTGTGTGCCAACACGCGCACCTTTCTAGTTGGAAATTGCAGCTGCTGCTAAAAAAAGTGAAGTATTGGAAAAACTGACGAAACGCTCATTCATAGCGCTTGTAAATATTACACAATAAATAAACCTGAAGTGTGGTGAGCGAGCAGTTGATCCTCTGTACAAATATACTACTTCGTTCAAGCAGCAACTGCAATTTTGAAAACGAGTGATGTGTTAGCTGTCACACACAATGGTTCATTGCAGAGACAAGCATATGGCGATAAATTTTAAGGGGGGTGCGTGCAACATAGCCTTGAGCGAAACATGGCGAAAATGGACTTGTCCAGTGAGTGCAATGAACCCACCAGTCAGGCAGACATGAAACAAAAATTTACTATTCAGATCAACCCCCTCTTAATCTATACTATAAGGTGCAGCAAACATGCAGAGCCCAACACTTGGCAGCACTGCATGGTATCAGTCAAAGCAAGTTAAGGAGATGCGTCGGAGCATTCCAAGTTAAGTGTGCCGATGGCTGGAAATTCTGTGGCTGGAAGTTTAACTTGCAGCTGTGCTCATAAACAGAGCACTGTAGTCGCCGAACTGGAAGCAGCTTATAAAAAGCATGCATGACAAAACATACATTCCACTGAAATGAGCAAGCATCTTCACTAACCTCTCTATGCTGCTTCTAGTGGAGGCAATTGCTGCTCTGCAGGCTTCTGCCTGCCTTCTGCCGCGAACCAATTCCAACAGTATCCGTATAGCTCCTATGAGTGCCGTACCGGCCTCTGTCTACCTCACTGTGATGGTAGACCACTTGACCAAATGGAAGTCCTCGGAACTCTCATCAGCCGACTCTAGGCGGCCCATCACACCATTAGCTAAGTGAGCTTGCACACACAAAAACCAAAACCTAATTCTAAATAAAGCAGCAAAGCAGCACTGATTACTTCCTCCCGATGACTGAAACGATGTGCTGAGTTTCATAAGCCCTGAATTACACTTTAAACTGAAACACATGCAGTAGAACTGCACTGATTCATCCTTGAGAGGACAGTAAGAAATGAACTGAACAACTGTAAAACAGGCCAAACAAAAAAAAAATGCTGTGCTGAACCACAGAAAATTTAGTTTCAGTTCATGTACTTGAAAACAAAAGGTGCAATGTTTCCTGGAGAATTTAAGTATTCGATTGATTGATTGATTGATTGATTGATATGTGGGGTTTAACGTCCCAAAACCACTATATGATTATGAGAGACGCCGTAGTGGAGGGCTCCGAAAATTTCGGCCACCTGGGGTTATTTAACGTGCACCGAAATCGAAGCACACGGGCCTACAGCATTCCCGCCTCCATCGGAAATGCAGCCGGCGGAGCCAGGATTTGATCAGGGTCGGCAGCCGAGTACCTTAGCCACTAGACCACCGTGGCGGGGCAAGTTTTATCATCCTTTTTTAAGCGTGTTGTTAACTCATACTTGTTGTCTTGCGTGCCTTCGTGGTATGAGATCGTCCTCTAACATCATGTGCCTTATGACCTGTTACATTATTTAAAAAAGAAAAAAAGAAAAGGAAAAAAAAACTCAATTGTATTATTTCTGTATGTATGTTGCCATCCCTTGCAAATAGCGAAATGTCATGTTTCTTTTTCTTTATTTCTGTGCAGAGCTCCCGCTTTCTAGTGTTTAATTTTATAATGATAGTCACAACCCTGTTGCACAGTGCTTGGGTGGTAGGGCCATTGTCGGGCAGTTATTTCTGCCTTTAGCCGGGCCATCCCTCGACATGTATTATGTTGAAAATAAACAATTCAATGCGTGGGTGTTGGTTGGAGTACAAAGTGATGCACCTGTTTTTCCGAGAAACATGTTTGTGAGTAAGTGCCACTTTATATTTTTTTCTTTTTTTTGCTGACATTTTTTTTTCAATTGCGGTATTCTATTGTGATATACAAGCAGGAAAACCACTCTCACCTGTTGTTACTTCTGCTTACCACCAGAGCTTGAAAAAGCGAAACCCACAGATCGGCGCTAGTGCTATACATGGCCGACGGCGATTATGCCAACAAACAGTCTTAACATGATGTGAAAGATTTCAAAAAGCTCATTAGGTAATATTCATTTAAAAGATCTCGCCAACGCCAATGACAGCGTGGAGGCCCGCTGATAATTCGTGGATCGGCGTGCGTACTGTTTTGCAAATTGACATATATGATGACGGTGCCAACGAATTGGAAATAATAGGATAGAGAGGAGGCTCGCCAACCTGGAATGGTAGCAGCTTGAATAGAGAAGAGAGTCCAATTCTAGTGTAGCATTGTTGGAGGGGGTCAGGAGTGAAAGAAAAGAGCGGAAAGGAGATTACTTATCGGTGCACAATTTATAGCGTCCTTTATTTAAGAATGAAGTTAACGCAAATCTAACAGAAAAAAAGACAATAATTTATTAAGCGCGTTTAGCTACATCCACCACTATTCCTATAAGTCTTATGAATTCATTTGCTCCTTCTCTTCACTATAATAAAGCAGATTGTCCAGAACTATAAATACGTTCACTCATGAGCTCGAAGTTACTACTAGTAAAGATCTCACCAAGATGTTACTCGAAGGCATGAACTTCAACAGCGCTTTAACTACTGATGTGAGGAGCCTGTAGACCCTGATTGACACACGGTTGAATGAGCGGCGCGGAAATTTAACAATCGCAGACTTTCGGAGCTGGTCTACTTTATCACTAACAGCTATATCAGTGTATAGCTTCGTTCTCGAAACCAACGTAGCTCTTATCAAAGTTACTAGAAGTAACGTTGGCTCTTATAGCAGCAGTGTTTTCTACATTATCTGTCTATATACATTGCCTAAGGCATGACCAGGTTTTGGGGACATGTGCACGTGGCGCTATATCTCGTTAGCCACTGCTGTGGCCCGCCATAACTGAATGGAAAATAGGCATAAAAATTATATCTGACGAAGCAAGCTAGTTATAAAAATACGACTTTCGGTTTTATACAGCTGACACTTGCTTCAACAGTCTGGCAAAGTAACAATGCAGCCCTACAAGTAGCTTCCAACCACGTTTATTATTCAGCGATAGCATCCCATGTGTTTCTAAAAGCGGTGTTCAATTGTCCTGGGAAGACACACGCTTTGTATTGTGGTACTCCAATTTTACCAAATTGTACCAGTGCGTTTACATATAACCCGGAGTCGTTTTCGATAACTAGCTTTTCTCAAGAGATGTGATTTTTCTCACTTATCTCTCATTTATTTATGGCAGGGTGCCGTTTCTGCTCCCGAAAGATGCAGCCATGTCCAGATGTCCAAAATTACTGGAAACGCTATTGGTTGGATGCTTTTCAGGCCGTGTTAATTGCACCGTGCACACTATGAGTTTCTGTTATTATGAACACATGCTTTTTCTCAATGAGCTCAGACTATGGATATTGAAATGCATTTAGGTGTGGACGTACTAACTGAAGTGTGATTATTTATTCCAAAATGATTCTTATAACTGAGTAATGGGCTTATTTGGGTGAGTGGTACTTGACTGCATAAGAGAAAAATACAAATGGTTAAACAGAGGCAACAAAAACAAATGTTATTTTATAACAGCACAAAGCTTGTTTTAGTCGACTCACCGTTTGGTCGTTTTTTTTCGCGTTCTTAATTTTTCTGTTAATATAACAGGCGCTAAAGCTACGATGCCACTGTGTGTAACAAAGATGAACGTCTGCTAGAGCGCTGCGGTCATGTCGCCCCGGCTTCACTAGATCACGCAGTCCGTTGAATGCGTCATCACAGGCGTTGTTAAATGTATCTTTATAGTTATGTTAACCATCAGTTTTGCACGAAATATTTCCCTTTGATGACAATGAATCCTGATCGCAGTGCTGGCATATCGATGGAGGCGGAACGCTTAGGGCGTGGGCGCTTCGATTGATGTGCAAGTTAAAAACGTTGAAGTGTAAACACTTATTGTGGTTTAGGAGGTAAAACACCAATAATTATTATATTTAATGGCTTTCAAACGTATATTCGATCTCGATCGAAACTAGTGGGTAACCCTGCAGCAACAGATGCCGTGCACTGAATTTACCACCCAGCGGGAAATAGTCGCAGAAAGGGTTGCCAAAGCACGTGTGGTAATAGGTGTCGCCTCCACCTTTCGCTGCTTATAAAAGGAAAGAACGCGCGTGGCGGAGTGCTGTCACTTCCTGCTCTAGGCCACACAAATTTTTCCTACCTGATTAAAATAAGTCGCCACATAGCATTCGGCGAGGCACCCCATTGAGGACCTGAATGTATACATAGCACTTAGCGAAGAAAGATGCATTGTTGGAGGCTAGAAATAAGGGGAGCCCATTTGAGGACTGTAACCACGAGCAACTCAATCGACGCGGCATCGTGGACACTGATAACCAATTCGCTACAGCTGCGCATTGAGTCCTCAGGCAAGCTCTCTTGCGCGCCGGCTGCAGTGCTCGTGCAGCGACTTGTTTCACGCTAACTGTAATACTGGCTGTCGCCTGTTTAAAACAACTCGCGTTGTTACGTTATCACCTTGCTTAATTTCTAGCGCAGTGGTGTATCTTTGAATTCATCGTACATGTTTTATGTATTCATTTGATACAGGCCGCATGAATGCTAACTCCGGGAGGTTAAATTACGATCAGTCGTTTGGTCAGCGAGAACCTGTTTGATAGCTCCTGCAGGGCGGCTTAATCGCTCACTCTTTCTGAGTAATCGTTCGCACTTTTTGAGCAGTGGCCGTAGGAAGTGGGCGCCTTCAAAGAATCTCTTTCTTTCCGCTACAGACTGGTGCTGTCCAGGTATTCCAGCCGAGCAGCATTCCCTGTGCGCAGCTAGGTCAATTCTACGCGAGCCACCCCTGGCACCTCCACTTGTGCCTGACCGTGTCTGCGCTACGTGGCTTCTGGAGGATCGACATCGACTTGGTATCGTCGTTTTGTACGACCTTTAGCGTCGTGTCATTCGCACATGGAACTCTCGGGCACTTGTCCCTCCTGCACTGACCTCATCGCAGGTTATATACGCCAGAACACAGCGAGCTCAGTGCTTGCTGCTATACTGAAAAGCGCGTGGCGCCATCTGTTTCAAGTGCGGCTAAGCAACCCCCTCAACTGTCACGCGAGCAGACGCTCTGCAAATCATATGCGAAACTTTACAAATCGAGTGCGGCTGTAAGCATGTCTTGCGCTGTTCCTTTGCTGAAATTTTGTGCTTATTTCGTGTGAAACGTCGAGGAGACCTTCCTCGACAGTCCGGAATGTCTGCAGCACGTGCAGTGCAGACTGTGGAAGCAACATCAGGTACGTATTCGCCGACTGAAAGAAACGCGAACAGCGGAAAGCGTTAACTGCGGCGTGCCTTGGCTGTGACAAGGCAGAATTTTTGCTGTAAGCCGGCGTCAACGTAGCGCTAGAGTCTGGCTTTAACTTACGCTCATGCACCGCATGTATATCAATTTCCAGTCCTGCCGGGCACACACACGTGGTGCAAATGTGCCTGCCAGGACAAGATTTTAAAATGCTACAGTGACGTAGGCCGAAAGCACATGTTGATTCGCCTAGGGACAGTGAAGGCATGTTTCAGTTCGACCGAGTCGAAAACCATAATTTCCGCGCCGTTCACGTCTCTTTCCATCACGATGATAGGCCGTTACAGTTGTACTAAACATGCGTGGCACGTGCATCCACGCATGAGTCGTATTACGTATATCCTATTATTGGCATGCGGCCTGCGAAAGAGTTCGGCGATAGTTTTGTGTCGCATACTACAAGCACACTGCACGCAAATCGCTTGCAAATCGCTGCTGTCAAGTGGAACAGCGCTTGAATGAACGCAATAAATATACTTACTTGTACACTTCACTGGGCTCCTAGATTTTCCTGTTGATTGCGATTATATCTTATAAGGCGGCGAAGTTCAGCGTTTTTCATTGTGGACGGAAATCTGTGCAATCGCAAAACACCGCACCGGCATGATTCCCGCTATGCGCTGTGAACTTCACAGACAATGATGAGCAATCGTTTCCTCTTGCGCTGGCTGTCATCGCACCAGATGACAGCGCAGTGGTACCCAGATGGTATTTTATAAGCGGGCGCAGCGGGAACAGGCGCGTTTTCGCTTTTTAAATTCGCAGAACCACTGCTTGCCATGCTAGTGAGGCGCGGCTTGGCAGTTCCAAACAAATCATGGCGTGTCTGGGAGCGAGGGTATATGACCGAAAGCGCCTGGGTGCGAGATAGGCGTGCTCTTGTCTATAGAAAAGCCACCAACGCATCCGGACCACTTTTTCAGCAGCGGCAGTAGGAAGTGGACGCCTTCTAATATTCGTTTTCTTTCCGTACAAGTTGGTTTTCGTACTATTATTTTTGTTTATGTTGCGTACTCATACGGCTGCTAGCCCCGCCGCGGTGGTCTAGTGGCTAAGGAGCTCGGCTACTGACCCGCAGGTCGCGGGTTCGAATCCCGGCTGCGGTGGCTGCATTTCCGATGTAGGCGGAAATGTTGTAGGCCCGTGTGCTCAGATTTGGGTATACGTTAAAGAACCCCAGGTGGTCGAAATTTCCGGAGCCCTCCACTACGGCGTCTCTCATAATCATATGGTGGTTTTGGGACGTTAAACCCCACATATCAATCAATCAATACGGCTGCTGCTCAGAAATGTTGCTTTTTGGTTTTTCTTGCACAACAATCCCACTAACACCGAGCTTGCTAAGAAAGTAGCGCACGAGTCACTGCTTCACGCTAAACTTGATCTTCTTGAAGATGTTGTGTCTAAGATATGTAGTATATGTAGAGTGTAGTATTCTTACCTTGTTTCAGCTTATTTGAGGTGTGATGAGTGAGTGTATATTTTTTATTCGTTTTTGAGTGTACGTTTTTTTTTTTCAAGTGTATTGATTATTTTTTCTTGCATTTTCATAGGTTGTTCACTAGGTACTCATCTGTATTCTAATGATTTGTTGCCTATTCTTTTCTCTATTTTTTGCTGTCTTTACCAATTACTAGTTATAACATATATCTCAACCTTAGTCTGTATTTAATTTGAATTTTTTTACTTTTTTCTCGTTTTTGACGTTTATTGTTTATTTTGCTCATGTAACCCCCCTATGTAATACCCTCTCACGAGGGCCTTTAGGGGTATTATGAATAAATAAATAAATAAATAAATATGGAAAAAGTTGGAAGATCAGGGACTTGGCAATCTTTCTGCCCTTGCTGAGAGCGTAAATTACATCAGTGAGCTATATGATTCAGTGCGCGACTAAGTAGATGGCCTGGTGCAGTCAAACAAAGCACTGATGGCGGAAATAGACGAGATATCTAGAAAGATTGCAGATATGGAGCAATACAGTAGCTTCAACAACCTTGAATTCAAGGGAGTCCCATGTACACTAGGCGAGGACTGCGCAGTTTTTTTTTTTAAATCGTTAGACAAGTGATTGAATGTCCCATTTCATTGACAGATATTGATATAGCACATCGGGTGGACAGCAAAACAGCTGACAAGTGCATTATTGTGCGCTTAATTTCACGTGAAAAAAAATGAATTTCTTCGGAAAGTGCGTAAGGCACGACTGCGTACTTCCCAGATAGGTCTATTCAGAAATAATAAAACTCCAGTTTTTCTCAATGACCATTTTACCATTGCCAATGAGAAAATATTTAGGAAAGCAGTTGCCCTAAAAAAAGAGTAGAAAGGAAGGGTCCTCTGGACAGAGAATCGCCGCATCAAAGCCCGCAAGTCTGAAGACAGCAGGGTATTTTGGATTAATGTGGAGTCTGATCTCAGCATATTCACTTGACGTTGACAACTTCGCTTTGTCTTTTTCCATTTCATAGCTTTCGGCTAGCATCATGTCCTTGCTTCCTTTCGAGGAAACTAAATATTTGCTTGCTAATTCTACTTGTTCATTGCTGCATATCAATGCGCGTAGCTTGCCAAAAAACTATGACAACATTATTGCTTTTAATGACTCGCCCTGTAATTCCTTTTCCATTTTATGTGATGCTGAAACATGGCTAGGATCTCGCGATGGCAATCTGTATGGATTTAGATCGTATAACTCTGACTATTGCCACCGTGATTCGGGTCGCTACGGTGGCTCAGCTATATTTATATCATCTGAAATACAAAAACAAACGCAGGTCTGACCGATCTTTAAATGTTCAAAACTACAAGTCAGTATGGATAGAAGCTCACTTTCCCACTTCTGGTAGTCTGAATGAAGTGATTATTGCGTGCATTTACCAATACCCATCTCCATCTACTCCGCATATTTTACACAATCTAACTGCTTCACTGAACATTGTCAATGCGGAAAATAGGTAAGTTGTTCCGGTTGGTGACATCAATATTGACCTAATGGATACCGATAATAGCAGTCCCATAGCATATAGTGATTGCTTTTTTGGCTTCGGGCTTGAGTCCTTATTCTCATCTCCTACTAAATTCTCCCACACTGGAACTAATACTCTCATTGACCACGTAATAGGTAATTTATCACCAACGTCAACCACAAGAGTCATTGATGTGCCATTTACTGATCATCTTCCTGTATTTATAAGTCTCGCTGTAATACTCCTCGCCATAACGCGTGACACTTCAACCTTCAATCAGGAAAACTTCATCAAGGATATTCAGGGCACTGACTGGACTTCCATTGGCAGCTTGAAAAATCCCGAGGACGCACTAGGCAATCTCTGCTTCCTATTTCTTAAAACTGTGTATGAAAATACTAAAACAAGTAAATGCAAGGAAATATTTAAGGCTCGCCACAATTCCTGGTTCATGCGAGGCTTGTTAACAAGTATGCGAAAAAAAGATAACCTTTATAGGAAAACTAAAAGTCAGCCATCGAATATTGATCTGAGATATAAATTCAAAAATATAATAACATGTTGAATAATCTTCTCAAACAATCAAAACGGCTTTACTATGAAAAAGAAATTTGTAAGGCAAAAAATGACCCCAAAAATGGAAACTTTTTCATGACTTTTTCAACGAACCTCGGGTTAGTATTAAAATTGAGAAAATTAAGTATGAACAGCAAATCTGTACTAAGTCGTCTGACACAGCTGAGTCTTTTAGTAATTACTTCTACGAAATCTATAAGTACCGACCCACAGCATCTTTATGCTCCTCTACCCGCTGTACCCATTTATCATTTTTTCTTTTTCCTGTAACTACAGATGAAGTATATCTACAATCCTGAGTCTAAGAAAATGTAGTGCTGGGCTTGACAACATGTCGGCGTTTCATTTGAAGCTTGCTGCTCCAGATATTTTGAAAGTACAAACTGATATAATAATGTCGTTTTTTTGAACTTCCCACATTTCTGAGCTCACTAATAAAAGCTAAGTTAATCCCAGTACACAAAAAAGATGAAACAATAGATGGCCGTAATTATCACCCTATCTCTATTTCGTCCTCTACCAGCAAACTTGCTGAAAAATAATTTTTGAAACGTATTAACAAGTACCTCAACAAGTTTCAGTTACTATAGTCCTCTCAATTTGGTTTCCGTGCTGGTAGCTCTATAAATTTAGCATTGCTATCATTAACTGGTTTCATGAAATCTTCGATCGACAAAGGTAATTTTCAGGGCCAGTGTTCGTCGATTTCATGATAACCTTTGACACCATCAGTCACAATATTTTATTTAGCAAGTTATAATCCTTAGGTATCACTAGTTCATGCTTAACATTCATAAAGAATTACCTACTTGATCGTGAACTATCAGTGCGCATAGAGAGCGCGAATTTAAGTGTTAAAATAATAAATCAAACGGTTCCACAGGGTTCAATTCCTGGGCCCTTACTGTTTTGTATGTATGCAAGTGATGTGCCTAACTGCCTTATTGATTCTAACGCTATTATTTACGGTGACGATACGACTATTTCTATGTCGCATATATCATTAACTACTCTGATTGATAAGCTGATCAACAAGCTAATCAATCACGTTAAATGGTGTTGTATGAACAACTTAATTTTAAATCCTCTAAAGACTCAGTTCATGATTTTTAAGACATCTTAAAAAGTGCTTCCTTTTATACCACAGGTGTCTATTGACCATCACTTCATTCCTGCATCTGATGGTGTGTATTTTTCGGGCATAAAATTACACTCTTATTTGAAGTTCAAGATTAATATATTTTATGTTAAACAAAAAGCAGTATTTGTATAAGATCACTAATTACATTTTGTTAATTTTTTCACTTGAATCCTTATTATCTTTATACTTTGCCTTCGTACGTAGT